AGAAATATCACACAATGAAGGAAAGCAGAGAAAGAAAACAAGGAAAAGTTACTCTTACTTTTTTATAACAATCTTCTTACAGAAATTAACGATTCCTGAATATCCTGGGTGAATCCCTCCTAAGGGCGCATCCTCAGGGACACAGTGACATCCCCTGATTCTAGTTCTTAGAGATCATAACTATTGACATCAAAGTACTGGAGACCATGCTTCCAATATGTGAACCATATCAAAACCATAAAACCTGGGTACTATAGCCTATGAAAATTGATACTTATGATTGTGAAGAGTATAGATGAGGTATGAGAAGAAAAGTCCCTCCCCCAGCCACCAGCACATCTCCTGTGGTGACAGTGTCACTCAAGTTCATGTAGGGAAGAGTATGAGAAAATCCTCTGATGACAAACCCAGAGGTTATCAAAGTCTACCAGGATGAGAAGAGAAGGTGACTGTGAACACATATTGCTGGGGAACTTACCAGGAGAAGGTAAACAGCAAATATGCCTGCTTGGTTTCCCTAGCAGCATACAAGTGATACTATGTAAAGATGCCTGGCAGCTTCCCACTAACACAGCTCTCTGCAGAAGCGGTTGGATTAAGGAGCTCTACATATCCTCCCTTTCAAAGCTCTGCCCTTCTAACAGGACTGTTTATACAATGGCACACCTTCTATTGATTTCTTCTGAAGGACTGTGGGCCATCATTAGAGAATTTAGAATGCATTAGCTTCAGGCTTCTAAGAAAAATTTTCCCTGGGTTACTAACACACACCTCTACATTGTCCAGTACATTTACTTTCAAAGAGCTTCATGTGGGTTTTCCATTTTACCTCTTGGTTCCTAGTTATTTTTAGGCAATCTGCCTCCTTTCTCAATTCTATTTCTTTCCTATTCCTTGGTGTCGTTTTTTCTTTTTACAGACTATCGTGTGATTTCTTTTCTTTGTGGCAAATATTAGTTTCATTTTTAATCTATCATCTATCTATCTATCTATCTATCTATCTATCTATCTATCTATCACCTATCTATCTATCTATCTATCTATCTATCTATCTATCTATCAT